CATCTCATTAGACATAGGAATTTATTAAAATGACGCATCATAACTTGGGGAATGTTGATTATCTCAGTAAAATCTATTTACATATTAGTGGTCAAATTTTTCAAATTTTGGGGTATTTCGCAAATGCATTTCTTATATCAACAGAAAATATATGGATTTAAATAGAGATTATGGCAAAAAAATTTTACAAGTTTAATACATATTAAATATGTCGCACAAGAACTGAATTCGAAAACGAAATATTTATGAGGAAGCATATTAAAAGAATCTTGACCAAAAATACGAGGCAATAAAAACGCGCAAATAAATTGAATATTTAACGCCAATTAAGCGTATAGAGGGAACTCCAACTCAGAGTATAAAGATAAGCAAAACCAGCGTTATCGATCAATTATTAAGATATCTTGGATCATTCCAAATCAAACATCCCTTCAGAGTCGTTAAGCATCGCTTTTAAATTAACAAGAAACGAATATAAATTAACTGACTCGATATAAATTATGAAATACTAAGGGAAAATCTTACCTAATAATTGCATAACCATAACCTGGCTGGCAGGTATAACCACAACTCGACCACCCCAACTGCCAAGACTACCACTTTCGCTACTCGCTTCTAACTCATTTCGTTGTATAATGTCAGCAGCATTAGAAATATCATGTTCATCACATTTAGGGAACCAAACTTTTACGTCATTATCAATCCCAGAAGTGCATAATATGGGAAAGAAAGGATGAGGTTGAACACAATTAACAACTTTCTATAAATTAAAATTTTAATTAAGAAACCGAAATTTCATAACATGGAAAAACTATAAAGTGAATTGAATTACCGTATCACCCTCCAACAGGTTAACAACTTTGCCGGTATATCGATCCCATATAAATATTCGACCGTCATCCGAGCCAGACATAATATATTCAGAATTGGCGCCAAAGAAATAAGCTTCTTTGATCTATAAATAAATAATTGAAAGTAACCATAAAGATTACTAATAATGATAATAATGATAATATAAATGATGATGATACAGACCATAGTTCTGGAATTAAGATGCCCAGTATAAACTCTAACAATATCCTCATCGTGAGCTTCGTCACAATCACTATCATCAAAATCATCATCAGAATTATCATCTGAATCATACATGTTATCATCGTTAGCATCATCATCATCATCGACATCTTGTAGGTGTGCATGTCGCGACGTGCTAGAATGACCTTCATGGTATGAATCAACTTCAGGTATTGACGAAGCATCATATGATGATTGAGTCGAGTCACTTTTATCATTATCGCTAGATTCAGGTATAGAACTATCAACATCCATTTTAACATTTTTTAAATCAATACTATTATTATCATTAACAACATCTTTAGGCTTATTATCAACAAGTTCAGAATCAATGACTTTATTTCTTTTTGGCTTTTTTGATATTTTAAAACCTCCATTTCGAGGATTGCCCTTTTTGTCATTGAAACCGCTACCAGGCCTAATCAAATATACTTTTTCACCACTATAACTGATACATAAATCACCACCACCATTTGGATCAAATTTCATACTAGTCATTCTATGACGATGATATTGATCTTCCTGTTGTTTTTGACGCATTTTTGTAGGAATAAATTGATAAACTTGACCTTCCCTATGATAAGGAGTATCGGAACCGGAAGAAGGAGTTCTAACAAAACGTTGATCATATATACGGACAGTATCATCACCACAAGCAGCGGCAAAATAAATAGGATTATCAGGTCTAATTGAAATAGCAGTAACGCTCATATCTTTTGCAGAACGGAAGGAAAAAGCACGACGTCTTCGTTCAGAAAATTGTTCAGATTCAGGTTCGCTATGAGAACGAGGATCATCAGAATCAGTGGATTGATGAGTACCTCTTCTACCTTGAAAATTATTTTGAGATTTGCGAGGTTGACGACGCACGGGGTTTAAATCAAGAAATAAATGACGTTTGCAATGGTGGCAAAAGCACGAAGTAGAGATGCGGAGATCGTATCTGTTGATGAGACCGTCTTCGGCACAAGAGAAAAATATATGTGGATCAACGGGATCAGGCATGACTTCGAATCTATGTCAAGTTGAATTCAAGATGTATTGCAGTTGGTTCTGATAACAATGCCATAATGTCAACGCACAAATAAAGAATGCAATCTATAAATTTTAAATTGAAAATACGATAATGATACTTACGCCATTCCATCATGACAACGAAAAGCAGGTAAAGGATGCCAACTGTGAGAAGGAGATTTAGCCAAATAATCACTTAAATCAGTGAACATGACTATTCCATCGGCAGAGCAAGAAACTATATGACGATCATCTGTATGAGACATGAAACGAGCAGAAAAGATGTTTGCACTATGACCGGATTGGACTGAATGGATAAGAGGAGCGTCAGGTTTATCAAATGGAGACCATATATTTAGATGACAGTCATCTATGAATTGGATAAAAGCCAAAAAAAAAATTTTTTTAATAACGCCTTTATGATATGGCTTATCCAATTTGATTAAGATTTTAAAACTTGAAAAAAAAACGAATTAAAGGCTGAAAATAATAATTCTAATACTACAGGTTTTCAATTTACACAAAAATAAATATTTTAAAAGAGGGATCTTTAATATACCTGAGCCAGATAATATGAGATCACCAGTGCTATTCCATACGACGGTGTTAACGCAACCTTCATGACCTTTTAAACTGTCAAAAGATTTAAGCCTCTTTACAGTATATGGATCTGAATGGATGGCCTTTGTATACTGTGAACGATGGGGATATAATTCTCGCGCAGTGAGCAGATCGAAAATATGTGACTGAGAGTCGTAAACAGTACTTGATAGCTTATGCTCCATATTGAAATCCTGGGTAGAGTAAGGAGTTCTTACGCTAATCTTCCGAACCCTCTAATGTTTGAGAACATCATGTGATGATGTGAAAATCTGTCATCAAATGATAATCTCTACATATTGATACCATACGCACGGTACGTAAATTTCTACTTGACCAGATCTTTTTTTCCATCCAAGTATCGACTCTTTATATATGTATTTAAAAAAAATTCATATATTTGTGATTAGTAATTTAGGGCGAACCTCCAATATCATACAAGAATTGAGGCTCAGACTATGATTATACGTAGATCGAAAGGGTGTCAATTTCAATGTCCAGACTCACGATAAGATCAATTTGACTAATAACTTAGTCTAACATACATCGATATCGATATAATACTCATCGTTATAATCATCACGATGAGAAACCGGCTTCAATGTCAATTATCATTATATAATAAATATATCATAAGATTCGTAATAATTAAATAAAGTTTTCACTGACAAATTCTATATTAAGCTAGATTTTGAAGTTCAGATGACCTGAAAAAAGCAGCTTGACCGATCCGGCTTGTATATTAGTTACACGATAAAAACGGATGAAAAACGTTATTACCTGACCATTTGACTTATAACAATCGATCATAGGATTATTGATAGGCATTTAGAGTTATCTAGATATCAATTATTAGATAAAATAAATAAATGAAATGCTGGCTACAATCATTTTCGCTTAAATATTGTATAAAAAGTAGTGTTAAACTAGCACAATTATTTACAAGACGATTATTTCTTATGCTAATAACATAGACTTGAATAATGTCGCTGTTATTTTGGGCCCTTATATGCAATATTTTTTAAAAATCAGGCCTTTTTATGTAATTATTTTTAATTTGGACCGTATTCGTAATTATTTTCACTTTCCGGGCCTTTTTATTATTAGAGTTCACTAACGCTAAATAGTGATCATCAGCCAATCAGGTGATGGATATTTAATCATACTCTTCTACATATGGGCTAATTTGGCTCTGATCACTATGTGAATTTTGTGATTATTGCGAATTTGTCCTACACCAAAAATCAATTTTGTGATCAGATGATTCGATTTTATCACAAAATTTTATTTTTAAACCAATCATAAACTATTATCACTTTTGAATTTACTTGCAATCGTTAATTCTAGATGGGTTTTAGATGGGTTTTTGCTGAAATGAGTAAGGTAAATAAGTAAAAGGTAAATCAACAAAATAAAATTCAAATTTTAAAACTAGATGTTTTTATACTAAATTTTCTATTACAGTATTACTGTGGCTTTTAAAAAGTTATTATGTTTTTGGTTTTTAAACAGTTTGTTATATTTAATTTATTCTTTAAAAGTAAAGGTACATAGATTATTTGAACTGCTATCAATAGAAACCAGGTAGATTGACATTTAAAAAAAAAATCAATACCTTATCTTTTATTGTTTATATCTTGATGAATTTAAAACCTAGTTTAATTATTTAATATTCAAAAGAAAGCTTAAGATCTAAGCTTTTTTTTAGCTATTGAATAATTAAATTGGTATCAAAATTCATTAACATATGAGCTGTGAAAGATAAGGTATTAATTTTTTTTAAAAATATCAATCTGCCTGATTTTTATTAATGGTTGCTCATTTTTTATATGATCTAGATAGTATAATAGATTTTTTTTTTTTTTAAATATTAAGGTGAGTACTTGCAACCCAGGATTTTATTGATAGTATATTTGGCTAATAGATGGTTTACAACTACAGAGGGCAACTATAAGAAGAGTATACAACTAGTCACTCATACAACTTTAGTCATTGTCTAATTTAAATAGTTTGCCTGAGGGTTCTACACTAGCTGCCATATCTGAAACCTACTTGTAGATTTCTTATTTAAACACTCTGTTCCTGTATCTACCTACTTACTTCTGTCTACCAATGACCTTGGTCAATGCTGATGAAAATATATCATGATTACTAAGTCTTTAAAGCAGTTTATTCATATGAAAAACCTTTGACCTTGTACTAAACCTTCTAGAATCTTCTGTATCTTATTTTTACAGTTGACTTGGTATTACTATGGTTAAGACCAACACTGGTAATCAGGGTATACCATTAAACCACTATGCCCTTATAGAGTTTACTCTAACCTTAGTACTGATTTCACAATATATCCTTACTATTTTGGTATTTAATTTAAGTTCTATTAAGTTGTTATTCCAGATAGCCTGAAAAGATAAAATAAGACTATACTTTTGGTTTACATGTTTGTTGTCATGTAACTTTTTACTTTAAAATCCAGAAATTCTGGTAGCTTGGTTGGTTTATCTGGTCCCTTCTTAAAGACCGATATAGTTGCTTAGTTTCACAAGTTTTAGCTTAGTTTCATAAGTCTAGTCTTTACAGTAGTACTATCAAAGATTCAAGTTACCTCTTTACTCAGATCTTCCAAGTGGGCTTCCATTTTCCTACCTGGTTCCTATGATTTACATAGTCTAAGGACTTATCTTGGGTTCACACCATTCAGAACTGGTTTGTATTCTCTTGTACAACATTATACAAGTGTTTAGACCTTCCAGTCATGCTAATATGATACGAATTACAGGTATCTTATTCTAATCAATCACAGAAGACAGTTAGTCATAATACAGAAAGAATTATAAATTTTTCATCATCACTGAGATTTGAACTCTAGATTTGCCACTTAGGGGTTGACAATCTATTTACTTTACTAGGTTGTTATACTTTAGTATAATAGATTTTTATATAATAAATTAAAAATATATTACTAATAAAACTTTTTTATTTTTTAATTAATTTTTATTATAATTTAATAATATATAGGTTTAAATAAATTATTTATTATATTAAAATTTTATAAGAAGTTTACTTTAAAAAAATTTTATTTGCATATATCTTGAATTCTTCTGGAAAGCCCTATGTTTTTTTAAGGTTATACAAAAAAGTTAACTTTAATTAGTTAATTTCTAAAAAACTATAAAAAAATTTTAATAGTAAATTTTTATATCTAATCTTTAAGAATTCATATATCGATGAGTTTTATATCAATTTTAATGATTTTATTATTGTTAAAATCACAAGAACCTATTCTAAAACTTTACTTAGAAGCTTAAAAAATATTTAATTAATAAAAATTTTTATAATTGAAATTATAAAAAAAATATACTATTAAGTTTATATATAGTTTTAAAATATTATATGTTAGTCAAACTTGTAGAATATCAATATCTTTATGATTATATTATTATAATATAGTCTATTATATTTAGAATTTTTTATTTTTTACTTTAATATTTAATTGACAAAAAAAATATTAGTTTTTACTATTAATATTGTTATAGGTGAAAGCCTTTTTAATTTCATACTATAATGACGACATAGCACAGGGAATCCCTTATGGGTATATACGGTGTCCAAGAGGGAAGTATAGATTTTGTTAGACATTGTCAAGAAACTATACCCTTTTCTAAGGCAGTTTAGGGAAAGGTAATGCAATACTAATAACTTTACTTTATTTCACTTAGAGAAAATAAACCTTGCCTGTAGGAATTACCCTAGAAGGGGAGTATCAATATAGTTTATAGTCAAAAGCTGTTTATTAAAGTAATAACAAGAAGGGCTATCCTTAGGTTTCTGTTCCTAAAGAATCCCA